TGGGCCCAGGGCCGGGGCGGGCGGGGGTTGGCGTGTCCCACCTGGGATGGCCGGGACGGCCCTCGGTGGCCGGGGCAGCAGGCTTGCGGGGCGGTGGGAGGGAAATGCGTCCTACTAGCTGATGGGACGAATAAACTCAGCACCGGAGGAATTACTCAAGGTGACACCTAATTGGTGCAAAATACACAAATTCTGTGGCACATTTCAAAATTTACAAGCAAAGGCGCCCATCAGGCAGTTGGGAAAGGAGAAAATTAATCACCAAGTCTCAGGCGTGAAATTAAATTCCAGGGGAAAGAAACCTCTTTCATTACTCCCAAGCAGAAGTAAAACGCCGTAACGTGTAAATAATGACAGCGACCAGGAGGGGACCGGGCCAGATCGAACACGCACGGAGAGGGGATGATAGACCCGGCGGCTGCCCACGCTCCTCAGGGGCCGTGTGGCAGGACGGCCACGGGTGGGACCGGGACCCTCCGGCCTCCAAGAGGCTGAGGCAAGGTCAGGCAAGCCCCAACCCGGCCGTCCCGGACCCCTTCCCTACCTCCATGAGGTTAATTCAAGGAGCTAGCGAGGGAGCCGCAGCCCGCACACCCGAGGATGGAAAAAGCATATGGCAGAGAGCGGGCGCGCTGCAGCTGAGCGGCGGGAGCGGCGACGTGGCTGCGAGTCGGGCTAACTCCCTCCCGAGTGGAGTAATTTGGGCAGTCAGCGGAGCCGGGAGCGCCCCGAGACACCCGGCACTACGGACTGCGCTGCCTGCGCTGCAGTATCGCTTGCATGTTCGTCACATCGCGTCAGGCTGCTCACATCGCGGGCTGTCACATCGCATCGCATCGCACCCCATCGCCTCTCGCTCGGGGTGCCACGCAGCGCTGCTGCTCGCCGCAGCCAGCGCCGGGGGGGGCTGCATGCTCAGGGGCACACACGAGGCAGCCCGAATCCCCTGCGCAGCCCCGACGGGACCTCCTACCCCCCCACCGGGATGTCCTCTCGCTGCAGGGACGGGAGGTAGCGATGCTGTTGCTCCCTCCCGCACCCTGGGGAAACAGGCACGGGGGTGGGCGGGCAGGGGAGCGTGCGTGCAGGCAGGGCTGGACACCCTCACGGGCGCAGGACCCGCGCCGGGCCCTGCGGAGCAGGGCTCCCCCCCGCCAGCATTGCCGGCAGCCGCGTGCTCACCTGAGACCGAGAGCCTGGCTCCGTTGCTCTGCCGCGTCTCCCCACTGTACTTGTGCTTGGTGATACACCTGTAGGTGGACAAGGCATCTTCCTTCTGCACGTCCGATATGTACAAACCTCCATAAGAAGTAATAAAAAACCTATTTTCTGGAGAGACAAAAGGAGGAGAAGGGTGAGCGAGCCAGCCCTGACCCAGCACGCCATCTCCCAGGCTCTCAGCACACGGGTCGGGCAGAGCCCCTGCGCTCCGGGCAGGCACCGGAGCTGTGGGCAGGAGCCGGGCAGGCAAAGCGGGTCCGTCCTCCGCCTCCCCACACCCTGGCTGCACTGGGGTGCGGTCTCTGGCTTCACCTTCAGGGGCTGAAGTTTCAGGCAGGCTGGCGAAGCCGGGCCAAAACGGGTGAGCAGCAGCGCTTGCCTTAGCAGCCGTGGGTGTGCAACAGCAGCTCTCGTGGGTGTGCAACAGCCTGCCTCCCTCCGTGGCAGCACTCATCCTGCGGCAAACACACCCGCCCAGGCGCAAAGATGGGCTCGGGGTGTCCTCACGTGCACCGGCGCTCCCCGGGGGTCGGATTCAGGGGATTTAGCCCAGGCAGCCTGCCCACAGCCCTCTCCCCTCCCTGCCCCGGCCGGCCGTCGCAACGAGCTCTGGGCTGGCCGCGGAGTCGCAGCGATGCGGCGGCTGCGGAGGGCGAGGAGAGCGCCTGGCACAATGCTCCGCCGGCACGATGCTTTGCCACACCGCCACGTCGCCGCGCCCTGCATAGCAACGCGGCAATTAAAAGTGAATCCATCCCGCTGAGTTAATAATTAGCTTAACTGACTTAGAAGCATGTGAAAACAAATAAGGGCTTGAGCTGGGGGAAGACGGCAGGAGAGCAGGCAGGGCAGCACAGCCGGAGCAGCACAGCAGCCCCCTCCAGCCAGCAGGTTTCGGAGCCGGGTGCACGCCAGTGCGCACGGGGAAAGAAGTCTTCGGCTTCCTCATGAAGCCGGCCTGGCTCCTATAATTCGTCATGAATATTAACGGTAATTAACACGAATACAATGCCCTGCGCTGCGGCACAATTTAGTGGCGGCATGGAGAGCAGGGTAAGCGGAGGCCCTGGAGAGAAGCTCCCCTGCTCACCTGGAAAACCCCTTTACCCTGCCCCACCGCCACAGTGGGGGCACTAATGGTGCTAAATAATGGTGAGAGGAGCCTTTGACCCCCGTTTCTGCGGGGCCTTTGGGGTTTACTCCAGCACCAGCCGCCACCGAGCCTCAGCTGGGACAGGGCGGTCCATCTGCTCGGCTGCACCGTGTTGCCAGCCAAACCACCCCCTGCCAAACACAGCAAATGCAGAGAAGCAGAAGGTAATTAGTAGAGAGCTGAACGTTCGGAGTTGAAACCTTCAAACATAGTCTCTAAATCAGCGATGGCTGCAAATGGCTCCTTCGAGTCCTGCACCACGCTTGGTAAACCAGGACCTAGTTGCTGAGGAGAATCAACTGTTTGTTCTTCCAGCACCTTTTAGAAGCACCTGGATATTCTCAATTCAGGTGGAGGAAAGCGCCGTGGTTGATCCCGTAAGAGCAGGAGAAACACGGGTGGAATTCGGGAACTAAAGGCACACGCTCCCAGAGCAGCCTGGCTCCCCCCTCCAGGGGCAGGACTGCAGAAGCCTCTCCCTGCCCACAGCAGCAGCGCTTGAGGCGACAGACTGCCAGAAAGCAGGGCTCTTCACCCAGGGAACCGGAGCACATCCCCGGCACGAGCCAAGGCGATGGCAGCCCTGAGCTCTGCTGGCACTGCCCCATTCCAGCTGCAGCTTAGCTAGACGTGCGTAGTTGACTCTAATTGCTTGATATGAGAGTATTAGGGACTCTAAACAGCAAAGAAATAGCTACCTTAATGAAAGGCGAACCTGGCTGCGGTTAACAGGAGGCAGAGGCAACCGCCAGGCTGGCAGCCCCGTGCAGACTCTCCCTGCAAGCAGCGGGAGCGCGAGCCGGCAGCCCCATGGGGTGCCACGGGCACCAGGGCGGCTGTCCCCGCGCCTCCCGCGAGCTGCAACCCACGCGCCTCCACGCCATCACGGGACCCGCGTCTCCGTCCCTGCTTGGAGGGGTCAGGGGCTCCCCCGCCAAAACCTCAGGCGCGGCTTTGCCTCCACGCTAGAGCACGGCGATGCCAGTGCAGCAGCCTGCGCGCTGCACCAGTATGCAACTGGGAGCAGATGCAGAGCGGCGCGAGTCTCGCGCTCCGCGCCGCCGATCAGCGGCGCCGAGGGATCCATACAAACCTCCGTAAAAGGGAAGGGGAGAGCAGTCCCGCAAGTGCAACTGAAATAACACGCGAATCAAACATTAATTTTTCATCTCCCATCAAACCAGTAAGTGAAGAACATTGGCTGCACTGGAATTTGAGACGGGGGGGAGCCAGTTTCCATGGTAACAGGGGCTGTATTTTGCAAAGTGCTCGGCAGCCCCAACTGGCCTCCCCCCCGCACACTCACGTCCGTGCATGGTTAGCTGCAGCCCTGTTTGCAGACGCGCTGCGCTCCTCCTCTGGAAACAAAGCCCTGCGAGAGCCGGAGCGACGTGCAAGGAGCCAGCGGAGGAGCAGAAAGCAGCGGTGCTGCGCGCCCGCCCCCCCCCGGGACCCGGGGCAGCGGCGGCAGGGCCTACGAGAGCCAAACTCCCGCATGTGGCGAGGCGAAGGGGAGCGGAGCCCCGACCTCCTGCCCGGACAGCGGGAGATGACGAGGAGAGCGACACGTGGGAGCAGGCAGGGCGAGAGCACTGCTGACCAGGAGCGCAAACCCTGCCCTGCCTGGACCTACTGCCCTCGGCCCCCCCCAGCCTGCTGGAGCTCCCCAGCTTTCACAGCCCACGCGCCCGAGATCAAGCCTCCGAGACGGGGCTCGAGCCAGAGCATCAGCCCCAGAGACAGGAACAGGCAGGAAATCTGCAGGTTTTAGTATCCACCTCTCTACCGTATCTGCCCCCTCGCAAGCCACGGCTTTAAAGATGCCGTGACATTAAATGTAAGGTCTACAACCTGACAGCACAGCTTCCGTGTGGGGTTTTTTTTTTTCCCCCCGAAAAGGGACAAGTAAGTCGGCCGAGGAGCGTTACGCTGGTTCAAGGGAGAGATGCAGGGCAATAACTGATGTAAACGGCTCCGACAGAGACCTCACCGAAGTGACTTATCGCTGAGATTAACGTCGAAGGTCGCTGAATAAAATCAGATCTTTCAGCCTGCCAGGAGGTGGAAAAGCTTTACGGGAAGCAGAGGATTAAGTACCTCCGTGGCCAGACTGGAGCGATGTGCCTCTAATAACTCTTCCAGCCAGACTTGAGCCGCTGCCTTTGGAATCGCCTCGCCAAAGCCCCCCACGCCCCTCTCGCCCACCCCTGCAGAGCAGGGCCGGGGGGGCAGCGAAGACCCGGGAGCCGGGGCCAGAGAGAAGAGCAGGGCAGCCAAGAGCCCCGCCAGCCCCCAGGAGCTCGCCCCTCACCCAGGGAAAAGCACGAGGGTGAGAGGGGGGCTCTCCTGCACGGCAAACATGAGGAGGGTCTCTCGCTGCCTGTGCACACACACAGAGGCACGCAGACACATATTCGCTGTTACCGAAATCCTCTCCCGCGTCCAGCTGCCTGTGGTGGCCGTGAAACTCCAGCATCGGTCCCAAGGGCCTTCCAATTTCAAGAGAAAAATTACAGTCGATACAGGTTACCAGCTACTGCTCTATCCAATATAGATTTAGAAAAAACAATGGGGTCAGGGCTTCAGGAGAGAGCACATTTTATAGTTCATAAGACTAATGAGATAACTTTCCCCTGGTACTCCGGGGCCAATATTTCCTTACGCAGCCTATTTTAACTGCTAGAGAATCAATAGGTGCCAGCGTTTATGAATTAGCCATACTTTGAGCATACGCATCCCAAGGCATCCCGGACAAATCCAATAACTGTTTGGTGCTATTTCTGGCCACGTTTAAAGTGACAAACGCCTCCCCGGGGAAAAGGCACGGAGGGGGAAGCCCCACAGAACAAAGCCTGTGATTTTCCACCACTGCTGTAACAGCACTTTTTTGCTGCTGCTGCTGCTGCTGCTCCAGGATGCCATTTGCCTGGCACGGGGCTCGCCCGGGGACGAGGAGCCTCCCCGGGGTGGGCCAGCAATCCCAGCCAGCAGGGAAACTCCTGCACACCGTTGGGGCACAGCACGGCGTGCCACGGCACCGCTCACCCCGTCTCTCTGCCGGCTGCCGGATGGATTGCAGGCACCTCCCTCCCCAAGACGGCCGGAGCACCGGGACGCGGTGCTCAGCCGGGGCGGGGGACGTGGGGCAGAAGAGCGGCCTGGCAGGCGGGGGGCGGCGCCCACGGCCGGCCGCGCAGCAGAGCTGCCTTTCATCTCAGCAGGCTGAGCCCAGCTCGGTGCCACAGCAAACGCCGAAAGCAGAGGGGACCCAGACTGGGCGCCAAGATTAAAGATCCATCCATCCATCCCAGAGATGTTAAAAAGGAACCGCGAGTCGAGCGCAATGCAAATTTAATAAGAGCCGCACGATATCTGACAGATTTATTTACATGTTTGCCTGCAGTCGGGATCCCAGGGGAGGTGTAAGGCCGTCACCGCTCCCCAGCCCTTTCAAAGGCAGCACATCTCCCCCGCGCAGCCGAGCCCGCAGAGCCGCCGCGCACCCAGCCGAACGTTCCCACCTTGAAGTTTCGTGGGCATCTGTAACGCAACCGACGCCAGCTGAGCAAGTGGGCCGGGCTTTGCGCCGAAGGGCTCCCTCTCTCCTCCTCCGTCCAGGAGGAGCGGCCCTTTGTCTGAAGAGAGCGCCGTGCCCCAGGAACCTCGTCCCCAGAAGCTGCGCCTGCAGCAGTCCGGGCCACGCCGCGTCCTGGGCAGGGCACGGCGCGGGCAGCTGCCCGTCCCCGGGCCGCCTGCCCGTGCATCCCCTACACCCAGGAGCTGCCCGCAGCTCCTGTGGGCGCCGGAGGCTTTGCCGGGAGCTTCCCCCCGCAGACCTAGCGATCCAGAAATTAATGCAGCCCCGACGCAAGCCCTTTCCCGGCCGACCGCGGGCACGAGCGTGGGCAGGCGCAGGCAGGCACGCCGGCCGCACGCCTGCCTGCTGCCGCTGGAG